TTTTTTTAAAAAAAAAGATAAAATAAATATTAAGTTCGTTAAGATTAAAAATAATAATAGTAAATGTCAAACCTTTCCACCATTTGTTATTGTCTTAGGATCAACAACGTTTCCCAAAGATTTAGACATTTTACGTCCTTGTTCGTCAAGAACAAATCCATGTGTTATAACAGTAGAAAATGGCGCAGTGTCATTAACAGCGACTTTATAAGTAAATAAAATAATAATTATTAGCATAAATAGTATCATTAATTTATGGATCAGTAATCTAACGTATGTGCAAACAACACGTCATGATAAAATAATTAAGTTACTTTACTAGAAGTTAATAAAGATGATGTGAACCATCCACGATGCTGGTCAGTTCCTTCAAGATATAAATCTGCGACAGCATTGGAATATGATCTAATTAACAATTCGAAATATTATAAAAAATATTAAATTCATAATAAATAAAACACGTATTATCTTGGATAATTCTTAACCTGCCTTTTGAATTTTTCTGATATATAACTCCATGATACACCACTATCAAACCATACATCCATAGTATCCATGCCTCGTCGATATTTTACACCTTTTTAATTATAACAGCATTAACAACCAAAATTAATTGATATGATTTCATTTAATGATCATATGATAAAAGAATAAACCATACCATTGTCCCTATACTCTGGTGCTACTAACTCTTTTTCATCAATCTCCCACCATGCATCAGATCCAAACTGTTTCACAATCTCAATAATATGAACTATAGAAGACTCTGTAAATAACGGTAGATTTGTTTCAACGTCATATAAAACAGGTATTGGAACACCCCAAGAACGTTGGCGTGATATGCACCATTCGCTACGCGATAATGTATATATTTCTAAGCGATTTCGAGCTTTTATAACGAAAAAAAATTAATAATAACGAAAAATAAATTAGTAATCATAATTATTCAAATAACAACAAGTACCATTGTCTGGTAAGATCCTGATATCTGCAAGTGATGAAAAGGCTTTTTGCTTGAATGCTTCAACATTAATGAACCATTGTGGAGTAGCTCTATAAATATTAAAAGATTAATCGATTTATTAACTTGCTATCGAAGTATTTCAAAACCAAACTAAAGACATCCACATATATGATACCTCAAAATTATAGGCTTTTTGGTTCTCCAATCATAAGGATACTTATGAACAATTTCATGTTCTTTCACTAACAACTTGCTTTCTTTTAAATAATTAATTATAACATCAGTTCCTTCTTTCAGTACATCTTTTCCTTCAAAAGAAGGATTACCAACTTCTGCGGTAAATCTTCCAATGTCATCAACGGGACAAAATGTTGAAATATTTAATTTTTTACATATTTCATAATCTTCAATTCCATGTCCTGGTGCTATGTGAACTAGACCTAATTTTAAAATTTTTAAATTTTTAGTTTTTAGATTTATAATTCTTTAAAGTTGATTTCAAAAGTGAATAGTGTGTTAAAAACAGCAAAGATAATGAAAAATACCAGTTCCCGAATCGGTTGTTACATAATCGGCATCTACTATTTTATATGGAATTTTAGTAATTGGATGTTCGTAACTTGTACCGATTAAGGTATGTCCTTGGATGAAAAAAATTGACATTATTTCTTCATGCATTAGCATGATTACCGGTTAAATATTAATAAATTGTAAAGATACCCTCAAAAGTAGCTTTAATGCTCAATTCTGATCCAATGATCTTTTGCAATGCATCTATCCTTTTATTTGCTACAATATAATAATCTTTATAATGTGAAAATTCCGAATCAAAGATAGGACTAACTATCGAGTATTCGGTTTGTGAATTAATTGCAACCGCCTAATAAGCCATTTTAAAGTTAGTTATTGTGTAATAAAATTGAAGTTCAATATCAAAGATTTAGATAAGCGAACGAACCCGATTTGCTGGAAGTGTCCATGGAGTCGTTGTCCATATCATAATATAAACATCAGCATCATTAAAATTTGGCAAATTTAGTGCTACGAAAAAAAATAGGGTTGTTAAGATACATATATAACAGTTGATAGTTATACAATCTATAAAACTTCTTAATGACATTTACTGTGTAAAACTTACATGACTTTACCAGAGGAAATTTCACATAAACCGATCGACTTTTATGATCATTCTGATACTCTAATTCAGCTTCAGCTAAGGCTGTTCTGAATAATTGCTCAAATAATTTTAGACAAGTTTATTTGATCATACATATATATTATATATTTATACAAATATTACCTTGAAGATGGAGACCAATAAACAGGTTTATTTTGTCTATATATATATCCTACATTAGATGAAATGTCTCTCTAATCAATTCAACTCAATAATACATTCCAAACACAAGATCACATAAGATCACCAGAACAAACCTTTTTTCACCATCTCATGAAAAAGCTTTAACTGTCTAACTTCATATTCCTTGTCTTTAATTCACAGACAAGAAACAAAGTGTGAATAAATGATATAAAAGTCTAGCCAAATTTAAACAGAGGAGGTACACTAACCAAGAGTCTTATAAGGATTATCCCAATCACCCATAATTGCCCAACTCATAAAATCAGATTTTTGGATTTCTATTGTACTCAATGCGCATTTTCTTGCAGTGGAACGTATTTGCATGGGAGTTAAGGATGATTTATCTACATTCTATTACAATGACAAATAATCATGTACTTTAAGTTTTTATAGATTGATCATTAGTTTAATAATTATGAAATACTTTGAAGTGGATAAAGGAATGATATAAGTACCTTTAATTCTGATAAAGCTTTTAATTCTATTGGTAATCCATGACAATCCCATCCCGGAATAAAACTAATACAACAGAATATGAAATCCTTTTTGCAGTTGGGGTAAGATTAAAGGCCACAAATACAGACAACTTACACAACTTTATGACCCTTTAATATTTTATATCGATTTATTATATCTTTTAAAATTTTATTTAGCGCATGACCTAAAAGTAAGTTGTAAAATGAGTTCACTTAGTAACCAAAGAATTGATTACACAAAAATAAAAAGTAATTGGCTTCAAATTTGAATCGTACCTATATGTAAATTTCCATTGGCATAAGGTGGACCATCATGTAAGATAAATAAACGATTTGAATTATCCTTTAACTACACCGATAAAGAAGTAAATAAAAGAAAATCTTGCTCGAAAAAAAAATCAAGTACCAAGTATGAGATATTTACCTGCCAAGAATATAGATCCTTTGTACATCTATCACGAAACAAATGTTCTCTGTTCACAGCATCAGCCCTAAGTGGAAAATTTGTTTTTGGCAATAATAAAGTCTCTCCGTATTTTTTACTTTTTGTATTTTGAGGTTTCAAGAAAATCGATCCTTTATCATCATTTTTTGACATCGTAAATAAAGAAAATTTACAAATGCAAGGCATTCCTAATTGCATCGAATGGGATCTAGATGCACGTAATCTATGTATATTTCGGGATGCTAAAAGTTTAATAAGAATCATTTTTTTTTTTTTTTCGAAATTCGAAAAACCAAAATGAACATTAAATAATCAACGTTAAATAGATTATCGAAAATTTTCAAAATTGTGTTACGTGATACTAAATGAAATTTAGCATTGCCGTTAATTAACGTTAACGTCAAACGGTGAATCTTAATAAAGTCCTAATAAAGCCTAAAGCCTTGACAATTTCATTGAACCAAATCGCGTTATTATTTAGGCGGGTCTCAGGTATCTAGTTCCAATAACAACGTGTAGGAGTCTTTAATAAGTTAATTATATGTTAGTATCATGAGATCAATTCATCCTATAAATCTAAAAATTGGTTTAACGTTACATTCTTTCGCTCGACAACTTGTTCACGTGGCGTAAACTTAAAAAATGTTAGAGATAATGAAATTAATTCGATTAACGCCAATAAATAACGATAAATTTACAAAATTTTTCATAAACCAATACAAAAATAAAAACTGTGATCTGACGTCAAAGGGCTAAGCGGCTGCGGAGCAACACAATCATTATCACTTGAAAAATAATCTATTTAAGACATCGAAAACTTGACTTTATTAAAAAAAAAAAATATTCAAATATTCTGTAGATACATTTACAAATTTCGATCTATTTTATCCTAATATTCATTCATCAATTCCATAAATTTATCATCCACATCATCCACCACGTATAGTATACCCTTCGTATACTACGAAATAACTAAGAATTCCAACAACTTCAATAAAAAATTCGAAAAGAACAAATAAAAAAATCCATCAATTTACTACCTTCCTACTTTATATATATAATTTTTGGCATAGTTATTTTGAACTCAACACGACGTTATGGCTGTCGGTTGAGAAAGGCAGCATTGTCCTTTTTAAAAATCTTTAAAGCGGGCCGCTATGGCTGTCGGTTGAGGAAGGTAGTATCTTGAATATTTTAAATTCTTGAATAATATTCAATAGGGGCGGCGGCGGAAACCGCGGCGACGACGACACCAGCGACGACGACGACGATTTTATAAATGTACCAGACAAACGTACATTCTTTTAAAATTTCTTCAAGAATTTTTTGAATGCGACCATAAAATTGGCTCATCCTATTTAATTTATAGGAGAGAATAAGATCGTCTTTAAGTTTCCTGATTAGTCATTGATGACGCATTTTATACATTTTGTCCAATTTGATTTAGCAGTCTGATTGGTAAATAATGTCGTGATTTTCTCAAAATTAAAATTTGTTACTTGCGGCGTTTAAGTTATTCAAATGAGGTAATTAGAGTGCTGATTAAATGGTCATATGTCTTTCATCGATTAACATAGTTCCTATTGTTATGAAATCGCATGTTCACATGAAATAACATTTTTAATACGCATGCTGTATGCAAGTTGTGCAAGTTGTATAGAAGTTACATAACTATTATATATATATATATCCGATATCGATATATCGATATACCGATATACAGATTTACCGCGATCTGTATACGTCACTTATTGATTCCCGTCATTCAGGGATCAACCGTTTATATATAAAAATATAACGATAAACAAGTGCTAAATCACTTTATATATTCCAAATTATTGTTATTATATTATGATATATTTGGGAAAGCTTTTTAAGAAATATGAACTTGCTTTAATGAAAATATTTTGTTGAATAGAATGATATCGAGGGCAGGAAAATTAGTTGTACGTCGTATCGCTAATACCAGTTTTCGAGTATTTTAAACTGGACAAATAACTTCTTATCAGGTTTTATTTGAAAAGTAATAATTCTCGAGAGTTCAGGTTTTAAACCTAAACAGTTTTTTTTGTATTCTATTTTATTGTTTCTATATAATAATAATAACTACAATTTTCTTGATTTTTAAATACAGTACGTAGCAAGAATGGGTATTTAAAAATGTCGCAAAGCGAAAAAACATAATCTTTGATTTTTTTGGAAATTTCATTTTACGGGATACCGATACGTACGGGGTTATCAAACCCTAAAAATGTGATCCGATTGTCGCTGAAATAGTACGGACCCGTTTCATTCATATACTGTATATGTATTACAAGATTAAATTATTCAGAGGTGATACCCTCGTACCTGAAATTTTCGAAAATGAAGAATTATGGTTTTCGCCTTGTGGTACTCATTTAACATTAAACTATAATTACCTCCATTAATACCGTGAAAGATGCACCATTCAGAATCAGGGTCGGAGTTATACAAACTTTGGTCAAGTAACGTACACAAGTTTTGGCATGAATTATGATTTATATGTGCTAGGCGCTGAGAAAAGGACAAAATTGACAATTTTTTTTTAAATTTTTTTTTTTTTTTTTTTTGAACTTTACTAGTCTAAAATTAGTTTAATAACATCACTTAGACAAATATTGTTATCTTAATAAAATTTTTGCCGCATAATGTAAAGTTTTATTTTCTTATAATTTACTATCCACTTTTTGCAGGCAAATTTGCCTGCAAAAATTAAGGTCATATATATGTATAAATGATCTAATTGAGTCATGAGAGTGTGTTGGATATGTTGTTTAGAATTTGTCAGATATCAAAAACATCGGAATTTTAAATTGTCAACCCGACAGGCATAAATTAAATGACACTCCCTGTAACAGCTTGTGGTATAGTGATCCAAATGAAAAACCAACTATATACTGTAGTTGCAACTAATTGGAAAATTAATCGTCAAATTTCTTTAGCCAATCAAATTGATACAAAAAACATGTGATTATTTATTTGACCAATCAATTTTATCAAAGCACGTGAAAAATTAGTTGCAACTAGGTAATCGATTTGATTTGACCAATTTTGACCAATTTGACCAGCAAAGTTTTGGTCGGCTACTAATTTTAACAACATTGATTATTTCATAAGCAAAGTAGTTATACTCGTGAGTAGTCTTGTCGATAATAATATTACGCATAGGAATTGCGTAAGTTGTACTATAAAAACTTTCTGATCAAAGGTTTTATTTGTCAATTTCGGTCTTTTCTCAGTACCAAGCCTATATGTTTCACAGCGCCTGCGGCCAAACTTATAATAGTATTTGCAAAATTAAGAACACTATCTTATCGAGTTCAATTTGTTTTACGATCTAAGCAATATAAAAAAAATGTTTACTCCGAAGTGTTTTATAGATTTTGATTTTGAATAGAGGTGGCTACGTTATTGATGCACACCACTGCCTAAACTAATTAATTGCAGATCTTCATCAAAAAAGGTAATCTAAACGCATAAAAATCAGTCGGGATTTATTGTTAATATGATACAAAGTACGTACGTACATGTTAAAAAGTTTGATTGAAACAATTTTATTAATTGCGTAGTCCGTCCTGACGCATCTAGTCTAACGTAGAGTTTAGAACCGGTTTTACTTTTCTTATATTAAACCCGGTTTTAATCTATTTTGCCATAAGAAACATAAAACTGGTTCCGAACCCTAGTCTAACGCATCTTAAAGTGAAGTCTTACCGTTTAGCACTGTCTATAGTACCGATACCTCATTCATAACCTTCGTTTTTAAAATTGATTAATACCCGGGGTACTTTGTATAGAACCGGGTACTATATTTGGGATATTTATATAAAAAGCAGTAGGGTGGTGATTAATACCCGAGTCTTAATCACGGGGGTATTATTTTTGTAGGGATACTATAGGCAGTGCTAAACGGCAATATTATAACTCAATTTTATCATACAAATCCAAAAATTAAGTTTGTGATCATTAAAAAGTAATATAACGAATTCTTTTATTAGAGGCTCAATATTATGTGTGTTTAGGTTTTTTTTTTTTTTTTTAAGCGTTAAGAGCTAACCGTTAATGGAGCCACAAATAAATATTAAGGCAGCTTTAATTCTGGATAAAACAAAAATGCTTTATTTGTAACACTAAAATCCTACGCGTATGTTTATATGGCGACAGCCGATTTCCTTCATACTGGCGCAAAACAATGACCTTGACGAACAAGAACAATTGTAAGTCATTTATGGTCAATAGGATAAAAAAAACTAGCCAAAACCATATGATTAACAAGTCTTCCAAAGTCGACAATACATGATTATTAAAAGACGCAGAGAAGGCATCTTTATTGTATGTCCTATTCCTGGAAGACCAAGAAAACTTATTGCAAAAGGGCACTG